CAATGGTTGACCAATGGTAGAGCAATGGTTGACCAACAATTGACCAACGGTTGACCAGCAGTTGACCAGTGGTTGACCAACAGTTGACCAATGGTTGACCAACGTTTGACCAACAATTGACCAACAATTGACCAATGGTTGACCAATAGTTGACCAATGGTTGACAACTAGTTGACCAGTGGTTGACCAAAGATGGACCAGGTGTCGGCCACGAACCAGCTGTGTGCCTTGGTGGCCCAGAAGGCCATTGGATTCCCAGGGTGTATTGCACAGAGCGTGGCCAGCAGGGCAGGGGGGGCTCAGCTGCAGCACTGAGCCCAACGTGGGGTTCCCCAGTTCCAGGCAGGCTGGGAACTGCTGGGACAGCCCAGCGCAGATGACTGTGTGCCACAATAACCCACATACCTCTAACTACGTGAACAACAGCAGTGCAGGCTGCTCTGACAGCATTAATGGAAGCTCCTTAAGAGTCAGAAGAGACAAAAAAGGAACGTTCCTGAGGTGCCCAAACCTGCAGCACGGGGCGCAGCCCCATCTTTTGCCCCATGGTGCTTCCAGCGCCGGGTGCAGAGGCAGTGCTGGTGCTGAGGGGTGCTGTGCAGCGAGGGCAGCACAAAGAGCAGCACGTGAGCACTGATCTCACGGCTGTTCAATACAGGAGCAGGTGGGGGAACTGTCGCTGTAGGTTTTTTTCCTGTTGCTTTTTCTTTCAAGCAGTGGCAGTTACTGAACAGCTGGAGCAAACGTGCAGCGGTGGGGCTTAAATTCTTCATCTCCTGGTGCTGAGCAGAGACCCGAGGCCTCTTTATATCCAAGTGGTTTCAAGACCAACTTCTGGTCTTGAAGACCAGGTTTCAAGACCAACTTCTGGTCTTGTCCCCAAACGCATCCCAAACGCTGCCAACACCTTTCACTCCTGGGAGCCCGAATAATAGCGCAAGTGCCAACACAGAAATGCTTTTGTTCTTCGTAGTCAATCACTCCTCCCTTATTTGCCATCCCTAAATTATCTCACTTCAAGAGTGCTGTCAGCCCTGGGACGCGCAGCCCGCTGCGAAACTCGGTGCCAAAATGTTCCAGCCTGCCCCTCTTATTTCACCCCGGGGCTGGAGACGAACGCAGCTCCTCCATCTGCAACCCAGCCCAGCTGTTCCATCCCCGCTCCGGATGCTCACAGAGGAGCTCGGGGTGCCGTGCAGCCCCTGGCTGGGTTGTGTGCATGCAGCCACGCGGGGAGGAGCAGAGATGCCGACCCATCCGCCCCGGTGCCGCTGCCCACGGCTGCGTTTCTCTTTGTGCCCAGGTGAACGGAGTCAACGTGGTGAAGGTGGGGCACAAGCAGGTGGTGTCGCTGATCCGCCAGGGGGGGAACCACCTGGTGATGAAGGTCGTCTCCGTCAGCCGCAAGCCTGAGTCAGAAGAGGTCGTTCGGAAGAAGGGTAGGTGGAGGGGGCTGCGCTGGGGTGGGGGGGCTGAGCCGGGGGGTGCTGGGGGCAGAGGGGGCTGCAGAGCTGTGCGCGTCACGCTCCTGTGGGCAGGTAAAGCTCTGCAGCACGGAGCTGCCCCTGGTTTGGGGGTGTTGGGGCACGAGGGTGTCAGGGTGCAGAACTGCCCCTGGTTGGGGGTACGAGGGTGTCAGGGTGTAGAACTGCCCCTGGTTTGTGGTCTAGGGGTGTGAGGATGCAGAACTGCCCCTGGTTTGGGGTATGAGGGTGTCAGGGTG